GCGAAATGCTATAGAACAAAATAAAAATACGTTATAACGAACGAAGGAGCCGCACTGTAGTAGGCAGCATTAGAACTACTATCGAACTCATACAGTTAGGGTCTATTTTATTATTATTATTATTGTTGTTGTTGTTATAAATACTGTATAATAAATGAAAAACAACGCCCTATTTGATCAATTGTTCGGTCCAAAATGAAACGAAATGAATTGAAATGTGGAAGAATTACTCACATAATATAGCAAGTATTCTCTTACTGCCCTATGAATTAAGGATGAACCTCCTTAACCTGCGCCATAAACTTGCAGCTCTGTACAGAATGTATTTACATTCACATATACATTCTATTTATGGCTCACAAATATATATATATATATATATATATATATATATATATATATATATATATATATATATGTAGACGACAACAATGTGAGATTTATGTAGGGGTGTTAGCGACGGTGGTGGTGCTGCACGTACACAACAACAGTAAAATGGAACTAAAATGAACCGAAAAAAGGAAATATATCGTTTGCGAAAATTCATATAAAATGTACAGTTTTGTGTTTATCATTCTTTAGTACGTTGGTGTTCCCTAGGTAATAATAGACAGTACATATGTACATGATGTAAGTATCCATCATTCGTCGATTGTTCTTCGTGCGTAAGGTAAGGTGGCCAGTTTTCTTTTCCAGGTAATTTCATAGTGTTAGTGCGAACGGGTTGTAGTCTCAATAACACTGCAGCGACAATGGGTTCCTCTAAGCTCGTTACAGCTCGTATACGGAATAGTGACCAGCGATAATGTAACTTTTAATAACTTCTAACCCCTAAAAAAAAACTTTCAAAATGAGCATGCGATGGGCAAAGTTTCCAGTATCGACAATCATTTTATGCCTAATAAAACTAACCAGCGAATCTTTGATTAAACAAATCTGCTTTATTTTAGGACTGTTAAACCCTAACTACTGTTAATTAGTTAAAAAAGTGTGAATAAACTTTTGCGAAGTAATATATTCTAGATGTTAGAATATTATCACAAAGTGCAATTAAATTCAGTTTTTGCAACAAAAACAACACCATTTTAAAAGCAAAGGAATTCTTGTGAAGACAGGCATATGTACGCAAAATGCGCCTATGATAATGACAAGGAAACATTATTTATGAGTTCAAAGAAGAAAATAATTGAGGATGTTTTGCTTTTTATATAAAATAAAGAATTATGAAGATAGGGTTTCTTCTTATAAGATTAGCATACGTAAGAAGGTTTCAAGCCGAAAAGTTATACTGCTTAAGAAGTTTATTTTTAATAGATTTACCCTTCCTTGTTTTACAATATTGCCGGTCAAACTTTCGCCGATATCATTTGAAAACGCGTTTACGGAAATAATACCTTTCGTTTATGTCGTCCCTATCTGCTATTTTTCCAAGTGCGTAAACCTTTCCATCTTAAAAAAAACGATTTTCTCAGCTGCTAGATATACAGCACTGCGTCTTATGACTAATGTATACTTCGCCTTCGAATCCGTCCTAACCTTCCAAAATAATCTAAGGTTTCGAACTTTAATGCCGTTATGCATCCTATCGGGTAGCTGGTTCTCGGAAATGAAGTGTCTCAACGCTCAGATACGTGCACTAATCATCATTTGTGTCTGAAATTTAGCAGACAAACACGGTACACACCAGCGTATTTGCAAAGTATGTAAACTAAAAGTGTCGAGCTGTTACGTTCAACACTGCCATTAGACACTCCATCAGACGGCTGGTTCCTACGACACGGAGTGTTTCTATGTCCAGATTCAAATTTCAATCACCATGCGTAGCTAAAATTAGTAGGCAAATACCTTATCTATTAATATATCACGAGAACATCCACAAACTATCAAAAATCAACGGTCTTATTGGTTGAAGCATAAACGCACATTCATTTTTTATCGTTCTAAATTATTTTGTCGCTTTATTTGTGACGGAATAAGCCTTCAGCCTTCACGGCCATGTTAGTGACAATGCTCTCGACATCGTTCGCGCTGTATATAACCGTAATTGCGTTATCTGTATTTAGTTTCAAATCACATAAGTTAATCGGTATCTACTTTCCGATTTTATTGACATCGTTGTCCTCATCGTCCTCTCTTGATCTCTATTTTTGCTTGAAGGTAAATATGACTGGCGTATATTGGCACCAGCTAGTTGAAAGGCTACAAGCAGATTAACTGGGACAGGAAATTATATGTCTGTCTGTATTCTCACGATAGCTTGTAGTCTCCTTTGAATACGTGTCGAGTGGTCGGAAGTTGGTTAACTGTTGATGAGAAGGAAAGTCGATTGATCGGCTGGTTTACATTGGTAGGGAAGAAGAAGAGTTAATGTTCGTATTATCAAAGTTAGTTGGGTCACTTAATAGATTGACTGGCCGAAAAGGTTGATTCTAGCTAATTTATCATTGACGTTCTTAATAAGCGATGGTTACACAGTGTTCGCAACTATTGCTTTTTGCCCTAGTAATAGTAATAAAAGTCGTAGCGGTGGTAGCGAAACTGGCTCCGCTAGACATAGTCATGAACTTCGCCCCTTGCAACTATTGCGGTCATCTGCCAAGGGAGGCATTTACGTTAGAGAGATTTGCTTCTTCGTGGCAGCATTTGCAGATCTTATTCAACGTGTGCATACAATAATAGTGGCCAAGGGCCAGTCGGCACATCGATACAACGCCGAAGTACTATATCTGTAGAATGTATATCTGTATATATAACCAGAATTTTGCTTATCATTATTTACAAACTATAGTCGAAACCAAAATAAACCGAAGCCCAACTCAATCACAGCAATAAAAATTAATCTGTATTTGACAGCACTGAGATTCGTCTCGTACGAACAAAAAACATAGCTTGCAATTTGCGTTTGCGACGTACCAGAGATCGCCCGCTAATAACGAAGATCAATGTCATGCTTCTAGTTGACAATCGGTTCAGCATTTTGGGCAGAATTAATGGAAACGTCGTTTTTATAGAATCAATATGCTTTCTATTTTGGAATTAAAAAATAATGATTTTTTTTAGTACAAGTTTTTGTTTTCCATCGGCTTGGAGATTATAATCACCACCATAAAGTGTTGCCTGGCGACTATTAAGAGGGAGGTTGATTTAAGCGGAAAATAGCCATTCAGTTTCTTGCTTGCTCACTTTCGACTAGTTTGGTTCTAACCCTTTATACAATGCCGTGCCAGTTGTCTAACATGAACTGTGCTTGTTCGGTAAAAGTTAACGTTGCCATTGCAGGGCAACTAATAACGAATAAGCGGTTTCACAAAGTGAAATTTCAGCATTAGCACATTGCTGAATCGATGTAAGTACTTCAGTAACAGATACAAGTAAAATGACTTCACGTCATACTGCACGTGGATGTCGTAAATAGTTAACTTATCTGTACATCGGTAGCGAGTAAGTAAGTAAGGCAGACTGTTAACCCCAACAAACATAGGCTCTTATCAGAATAGCATTGATACATTAATGTTAATGTATATTAACAGTAATACGTTAATTAATATCTGCGCAAATAAATCTCGTGAATATTGTAATGTATGGACAACATCGTCTTAATGGATACGTCAAAAAAATGGAAACAACTACAAAGAAAAAAACTGAGCGAGTAAGGATATTTAAGAAGAAAAATAAGCGAAGTTTTTCTAGCTTCTCTCTCTAATGTTCATATTGTAGTGTTAATTTTTGTTGTTGCTGTTAACGCAGTTGTTTAACGTGAAGATCATGAAATGACTAGAATTCGGCATTATCAAGTCGGATTCATTCGCCTGTTAAACGCTCGATTGGCCGGCTAAATGCTTCCGTCGCACTGCTGCAAGTTTCGGATTGAGTTTCTTATAATGATAATGAAGATATAGATAAATGGAAATTCAATCACAGATAAGTACCGACAGCCTACCGTCAGATGAGGGCATGGATCCAAGCACAAAAGCTTGCTCCAAGCAGTTATGTACCAGCAGTTCTCGGTTGTGACGTGTAAATGATTTTAATTGTCGGCTAACAGCAATGCAATAATTTTATATATTATCGATTAATAATTAGGTCTTTGTAGGTCTCGTCGGATGTTTATGAAAGGACATCGCAGTTAATTACCTTAGAATTAATTTTTTTTTCAGATATTTTTTTTCTAGATTTCTAGCAATTTCTGGTAAATGCCAGATTTACTTTAGACAAAACCCACAATTGTTTGAATTAACTGGACACGAACGAAATTTTCCTGGTGGCGCCGCTTTACCCTGATAAAAGAACCAGCCAAGATAGCGTAGCTGGTAACTAATGAATACATTTGTGAATCAAACAGATCAGCCCACTCTGTTTCTTATCGAACCAATACAGCTTAGAAAGGGTCTTGTATTTCGCTCAATATATGTGTAGCATAAACAAAGCTTTGGCTAGATTTCTGGCTTAATAATAATAATATGGAGAAAAGGTAGATAGGTAGTAAGCTTAGATCACAATGAAAGCATCTGTTCTCATTTGTTGGTCAATCTCTGAGGTGTCTGTTGCCAGTTTGTCTAGTGGATCAGTAGTGTATCGTAACCATTATATTGAGCAACTGCTACCTGTTAAGATTGTATTTGCTGTTTTCGGCTATGTTAACGTTTCAAAGACCAATACATTCTTCCATCGCCTAAACGTTGCTCCACCACTTTTACATCCCAATATCAACTAAAGTTGTCTCTTCTCCATCGTCGGATCTAATCGTGTCATTGAATAGCTTTCCGGCCTCACTGGATACGATCATTACGTTCGAATAATGAACTTATGACATGATGAATGGCTGAATGTAACACTTTGTTGATGTTGTTGTTTATAGCGTTTGTTGTTATCGTCGCTATTTATGTTGTTGTTATTGTTGTTGTCGTTGTCGTCATCGTATCTGGTTATTTAGATGTACGCGAATGTCAACCATCTCGTTAGTGTTTTTTTCGACTTAATAACTAGAATTCATCCTTCCTTCGCCTCTCCTCGAGCTCCTTGTGATGCACACAGTCGTCACATATCTCTCTAAGGGGCAAATGCTTCTGCAAGGGGTCACGCAAACGACGCAATTCCTCTTGACACTCGGCTAGCGAATCACGCAGCTCGTTATAGCGGGACAATTGAAGACCGCGTTTTGACGCTCCTATGTTACAACAATGGAAGTTAAAGCGAAAGCAAAAAAATCTATCATATCCGAGGCTGCAACTAAATCACTCGATTAGGAATCTACAGATATTTATCTACAGATATAATTTATAGATCGGTAGATCAATTAAATACATGATGGTATGATATGTTATCGTCATACCTTTCCAGAATGCCTTAAGGAACTCCCGGTCCCTAACGTCAGGTAAATAGTAATCCTGCTTCGTTACCATGAAGTATGCATACGCGGCCATGCTTGTACCTACGCGTATATATGAAATCGAGATAATACGAAGACATAGGAAAATTATAGTGAAAATATGTTCTCTTAATATTCTGAAATTAATGCAGGACATGCATACTTCATAGGATTATTAGATATGAAAAACTTAGTCCCCCTAGTTTCGGTATTATTGCAAAATCCATCATAGAAAATAACTTTCCTCAAACCAAAATGAATAATAGCCATTGTTTGTTAAACAACTACTACTCACCGTAAGTGACGAAATAGGTAACAGGTTCCATAATATCCCAAGAATACTCCCACCAGGTAAGGCGAGCAAGTACCCCGAATTGAACACTCATAAGGCCCAATCCCATCCAGCCAAGGATTGTAGTTCGGCGTTGCGATGAACGTGCGATTTCGTTTTTAAGCTTCTCTAAAGGCTCCATCTCTCCTTGAATCTGTTCGATCTTTGCAAGTATCTTTCGTTCTTGTTCTAACTGATGCTCGGATACTGTGAGGCTTTCGTAAAGACGATTGACCAGGATCTTCACATCGGCCAGTGATTCAGCATGTTCTGACGTAACTTCTTCTGTTTCATAGTCGAGAAAGTAATGCATATAGAAGCACAACTGGTTTAACATTGATTTTCTGAAGACATCTATAAAATATAGTATTTGGTGCTTCAGTAATTTGTTGCAACTTTTTTGAATTGTTTTTCTTCTTTAATCGCACGCAGTTGGCCGAACGTTATAGAAAGTAACATTGGAGAGTGCTTGCACTGCACTATAAGTCTGTTACGACTGTGTTTAACGGCGAACCGAACGTTGCCTCAAGCTTGGGCTTTGAAGATAAACGTCTCGCGTGGCCAAAACGTTGATCTCTTATAGCTTCTAAATCACGTTTTGCCGTAAGAACAGTCAAAGCAAGCCAGAGAATGTACGCCGTACTCTATAGTCGAAAGGATTGTTAGAAAGTGGTTTAATAATTAAAAAAAATTGCAATTTTGGCATTGAGAGCGTATCCCAGTTCGGTTAGATTTTTGGATAATAACACTAAGATATTTTTGTCGGGTAACTGAAAAGCTGATGATTCAAATTTTTAACAACGCTTGACAAGCACAGCTTGGACACGGTCCATCTTTTTAACGCTGGATTTGCTTGATGGCTTTTTTTCTTAGTTAAGGTCAACTGAAAACAAAACGCGCTTTTTAGAGTCGAGTTCAATATTGATGTAATTTTTTATGAGAAGTGTTCCCCGAGTTAGCATTATAATGTTGCTAAGTATATACATTATTTGGATGACCTCAGTTTAGGCTTCACATAAATAAACCTTCTGCTCTTGACCGCTCTGTCTTTAAATGCCTTATAGCTTTTTAGAAATCTCGAGTAAATCAATTGCGAGAAAATAAAATGTAAGCGACAGTGAATCGCTGTGTGTTTTAGATGCTAATTTTGAAATCCATTGATAAATCAGCTTTCACAACAGGTGTGTTAGTCTTGTAGGGTTGCGGGAAAGGTACATCAAGCTAAATATGACAAAAGTTAACGAAAAGACAAATCAGCCTCACCGTTTTAATTATCGATGAGTGCTAAACAGACGAGTAAACAACGTATCGAAAATGTATTTTCCTTTGCAACCGGGACATTCACCTTTCGAGCCTGGACTACTAGGGGAAGATTTCCTTCATCGCACAATATACTAGCAGCAGCTTTGTAGAGGAAAGAAGGAGTTATATTTCAGATTGTATATAAGCAGCTTGGACAGCAATAGACGCATAAGAAGGTAGAAAGGAGGCAACTGAGAATAACCACAGACTGTATGTCGAACATACATGGCAAAATTAAATTTATTTAGATGACATTGGTATATAGATGACTCAAATAAAAAAAAGAAAGGTTTGTTTATAATCATGCGTTCCTGCAGAGCTGCTTACTTCCGATTCTATTCACATTTATTATAAACGATTTGTTGAAGGCCGAGAGACAGAATTACGGACATTTCCAGTCATACCTAAATTCGTCTCGTCACAACACCGCTGTGAACCCTTTCGGGAGTTAACGACCACGACGGCGTTTCCGACTGCTTGATCTTCGAGAGATATTATTGCTATCAAATCAAAAGCACTAGTCAATATTACCCGATATTGACAACCGAAAGTTCCGGATAGGAGAATCTTGTATCAAGAATAACTTTTCAGCTGTTATTGCGTGCTAATTTAGAATATCATATGTTTGCATTCATTTGGTTTTGAAATATGCATCTTATTAGCGTAATGATTATGGGGACTCCTGTTATTTCAATGCCTCGTACCCTGAACTTTATGGAATGATCCTAAAAAGACGGTTTGTTACGTACTCTCATATCCGTCCTTGCCACCAGTCTGCTGGAGACCGTGAATCGTCGCTGTGGCCACACGATGCCAGATCGGCAGACCCAAAGCGACGGATACGTTGATGCGAACATGCGTGTGAAGTATTCGCGAAAGCACGACGTGCGGGCGAAGTACACAGAAAGACACACGCAAACGGACCCAGGATTCCACCACATGAGAATGCGACGTAGAGAGCAGTACACGCACAGCAATAAATGAATAATATCGAATTGGTACGTGTTAGTACGTAGTACTAAAAGTGCTGAGTTCTTTACTATCAACTCTACCCTTAACAAGTTCAACCATGCCTTGTTATAGAGTGTGGCGCATCGAATCTACGATTGCAACAGTTGTGTCACAGTAGACTAATATTTCATTTCAGGGTAAACCTACGTTGTATGATATTATCCTTTTGTTATCCACCTGATGATGAACCGCAGGGCTTTTTTAGTCTTGCATATGTCGGCATACATATGCTACTGTATCACACCAATTGCTCACTAAATTTACCAGCAATTCAAGTCTATACTCAGTTAAATCATACCTCTTTTTACTAGTAGGAAAGTTCGATATTAAACAGAAAAAGTACGATAGGAACGATCTTAAAGCATGGCCAACAACTAGGCTCAATAACTCCAACAAGCAACATGCATAAGATAATGGTCTTAAAAAATAGAATAGATAAATTTAAGGTCCTAATCACTGTTTTCAGCACACAGTTTATACGTTACGAAACATTAAATATGTATACATACGGTGTTACCATTCATATTAACATACATCCAGAATTTGTTGGCAAAATTCAAATAAATATATATCATAAAAAATAGGCACGTAATAGCAAACAGTCACTTCAGTCAGCGTTTATCCAATGTAATCATTATCAATTCTCAGAGGCTTTGATAACCACTAGCTACCTGTTAGCGAAGCATGCAGACCAAACACGTAAGGCTGTAAACAGTGATTCAGGGGCACTCACTTATCTCAGGCGGTTCGACCGTATAGGTGTCTTTGTTAAGCGTCAGCTTGAATGGCTCTTGAAAAAGCGATTCTATTGAGGTCGTCCCAGAAATTCGGCATCCGTCTGAAATTTCACACGGATGTAAGCAATTTTACAGTTCCCTCTTGACTGTTATTATCTGTATTCATTATGTATTAACAGGGCAATGCATGAATAGCAGAAGCTTCCTATGCTCTTTCTTTAGAATTGCATCCATTGTATTTACCAAGCGTGTGTGCAACCATATAGTCCACGCCTCGATCTTCCGACTGCACAGAATCGCAGAGGTCTTGAAGGGTATTTCCAAGGGGTCGCAATGTAAACCGGCATCGCTCTCCTCGACTAGGAAGTGGAACTATGATTGTGGGCATACCTGAACAGCACGCAGTACCCAGGAAAATATAGATACGTATACATTCGGTGGTCGAAAAAGTATTGATTGATTTTAAGTCCAAATTGAAGTAAATAATAATACTATATTACATATGCGCCAGTTTTATCGATGACCTTATGTATTTTTCTAGGAACATATGTACATATGTTAAGGTTAATAGCATTAAGAAAGTTTCGCAAAGACTGAAACAGGTGATAGGCTGATTGGACAGCATATGGGCTATATGGCATGTGTATGAGAATTTCTCATCGCAGTTATTTCAAATTTTGTGGGGTACTTAGAAAAGAAGACAGATGCACGTGGCCTGGCTTTGTCATGGATGAGAATAATGCCTTTGCTGTTTACTAGTTTAGGTTGATTTTTTAATGGCTTTTTATAATGTTGTTAGTTTTTGACAGTGAAGATCCGATTTTTGTTTTTATTTGACGGCTTGACCAGGGGGCAACAGCTGGTAATTCCTTTGTTATCACATTGAACTCATTACATCACTTCGTTTGGTTTTGCCACAGATTATGAAGCGCGTTTTTTGTTTTTTTAAACACATCATAGTTGTAAGTGTTTACTTTTCGTCCCCCGTAATCCGCCGCTTTAAAGGAACATTCAATCACAGGAAGGACAGACATACTCACTGAATTTGACGCTGGTAGACATGGTTGATTAGATAACTATTGCATCGATAGGAGTCCTCGTATAATTCCGTTAATACAGGAAAATCTAGCGGCTCAAACACTTAGATATAGTATAATGGTCGAACTGTTGTTAACATTTTGTAACCTAAAAAACGATAAAAAGGCTGCAGCGTGGAATAAAACTCCAATGCTCCCAATGCAGACATAAGGACGACTGTGAATTGGTAACAGAGTTTTTGTACAGAAAATGCAATACCCGTATCATTGCTTTTCGTTCGAAGATGCACTGCTTTTTGCCCATAAGGATATTGTACAGCTCAAAAACTATTACGGAAACATCTCCCGAGACTTAGTGCAGTTTTCATTATAGTACACTTATTATAGGTGTTTTTCTTAACACACCCCGCGTGTCTTAACACACCTTGTCAAAAATGCCAAAGGAAGACTCAAGGATAAGTGCTTACCACGCAAATAAGAAACGCTAAGGAGGTTATTTTGTTTCTTAAAGTTGCTATCGTCACTCTTAGTAGGTTGAGTACACAGAGCTCGCGTTGAAGACTTTGGTTTCTGAAATGAAGAAAAATTTGAGTCATAAACGTGAACACGATATTGGTAATTAAATTAAGTAAAACTTTTTGCCGCCAATTACTTTTACCAAAATCTAAATTCAAACTAGTTCTACATCAGTCCAAACATATAAGAGAATTTACATTGTTCGAAACCAAAGAGAATTAAATAAACTCTTGTGTTTAGCGTGTTATCAGGGCAAAAAGGAGCTGCATCGAAATCAAATGCTGGATCAAAGATTGTTATTAATAGCCTAGTATATTCTCTGATGTTCAATGGCTAAGCTTCAATTTCATTCAGGTTTAATTGGTCTGCCTTTTAATTCATTCGAGCACCACCCGATAGTTACGTGATACACACGAAACAGAGACAACAACAGTAAAAGAATTAGTTCGTGTCTTTTGCTAAATCTTAAAACAGAGGAGACATCCGACGATGTCAGCCAACTGGCAGGCCCAATCGTCCTTGACTAGTTCAGAAATAGTAGTACAACGACTGATGTGTATCACTCTTTGAGTCAGCGTTTAGGCACGCAAGTACTCATCAGCACCTAGGCATCAAGGCTGGATGAGCAGATCACCTATTTTTCTCCCGATGTCTGACCCCTTTAAGTCCAGCCCCCCTGCTGTCGTAGTCGTCGCCAGATGTACTTCTTACTTCGCAGAAGCAAAAGACAGTGCTGGTGAATAATAGGGGATCCTTGATTGGAAAGCCAGCCGTTAATATCTAGCTTATATAAGACGTTGGCCGCAAAATTCTTGTTGCTAGATCCTTTTTTCTGACTTTGTGCTTTTGCACCCTGCTACGATGTCATGTGAACGAAATAATTAGAACCTCGTGAAAACCGTAGTAGCATACACGAACAGCCGGCCACACTTATGGGTTTCAATTCAACTTAAGCATGTCGAGCAATGAAAAAGGATCCTTGAAAATGCATGAAGAACTGCACAACTTTTTAAAATATACGTTTTATATAAAAATATCACTTCTAATTTAATAAACTTCTATAAGTTAGTCTTCTAATTAGCACTATTTTTATTAACACATTTTAACCAACCACGTACATACCCACGCACAATACATATGTATATTCGCTAAAGAGGTTAGAGAAGTCCCTTAAAAATCACGTAACTCTATAGCATGACCGTTATCGCCGTCGATGCCCATAAACGTAGCGGCTACATATTATTTCATATATATCATATGTTATACGCTTTTTATGCCGTTACCCACGTATGGCATAAGAGAACAGATTACGCGAAATGTCCAAAACATCATTATAACTAAAGGTATTGGCTAGCAAGCGCTCTCTTAAAGTTATAAGCACATTCTAATACTTCTTCCTCGAAGGCAAAGATACAACGGCAGAGTACTACTCCACGAACGACAAGCACAGTAATTTGCGTTGCAGGTCCGAGTAATAAAGGAATGAAAACGGCAGAAGCACAATACGATATTTTGTAGAAAAGTCTTAAGTCAAAAACGCATGTCAAAGATTGCTGGCCAAACCAATAAGCCTATTACCGGTACTGGCTACTGCGTACGAATATTTGACAGATCTATTTACTGTTCAACACTCTCAACATTTTTCATCTGTAGGATGAAGATCGTTTCCATCTGGATCTACCGTTGCAGTTCCGTGAAGAGGTACATGCAGCTACCGTCCTCAACGTCTTTGAATAACTGAGAGGGATACAAGTGCATATGTAGTCATGCCTGTCACATGCCAGCATAAGTTTCGCGTTCTCCACCAACTGGCTAGTGCGCAAACAATAGTAAATTATAATTACAAATAATACTGATTAATGAATGTAATGGGCTGGTCAATGATTGACCAGTACAATGCGCATCAAACGTATTTCTGTTCGTTGTTTCCTTAGGAGCGAACGCGCACCTGGCCAAATGCTGCGGTGAACCTAAGAAGCAAAATCATTTTCTGGCGGCAACTCAGGCCCGTGTACGAGGTGCCCCCATGAATGATACAAAACGCCATCGCATTCACGCGGCACAGACGATTCCTCAAACACTCTTACACACTGCGTTACAAGTGGTAGTAATAACAATAACTGGGGTAGTAAATGTGTATTTCGCTGCAGCCAACGAACGAGGTTGTCGTCGCTGTCGGTCTATAAGGTGCACAAGGTATTTTATTTAAAACAATTAGAAGACGGTGGCAGAAGAACCCCAGCTGCCCGATGCAGCAGTACGGACTGGCCCGCAGCTCCCCGTTGCTAACTGAGTTAGCTTAAGGCGCATAGAGTGCTCTCCGGTGTCGTTACGCTGTCTCTCCCGTTCGGAGATGTCGCCGCACACCCAACGCCGCCTGGTGGGCGCCACCGTAGAGAACGGGCAATGGACAGCTGATCGAGCGTTGTACGACCACGGAAGTGCACATTACTCACTCTGTGTACATCTGTTCAAATTATATCAGGTATCTTTTCAGACTTCAACTTTGTTGACAAACAAGAAAAAAAGTGTACAATTTTTCTTTACTCTCCTCTCTTAGTCAATGTGCATACAGGACAACGTGTAGAGTGGATTGGTCTGTTACTCCAAAAGCAGAAAAGTCGGAAGAGATCCCGGACATGAGGAATGTGGTGTCTTTTGTTAGCGCCCCCTACAACTGAATGAGCGACGAGCAGACGCACGGACACGAGTCTTCATTGAGAAGATCCAAGTAGTGGAGGTTAATTGGCAAAAAAATGTATGAGTTTGTATACATATGACGAATTTGAACCAGCGACCTTAATGCGAAGAAGTTTGCCAGTTTAATTTAAAGCAGTAGATATTGAAATGTTTATATCAACACCGCTAACTCTACGACAAGAGTGCCAGTGTATGATATTACAACAGTATGGAATACATTGGCATCAAGGTTTTATATCCTGGAGAAAACCGCTGGATCGGTTGCTGCTCAGAGTACAGAATTCACGTTGATCAAGTGGCACCGAACAAAAATGAACAATACATCTATTCAGATTTTTTGTTTGTGCTATTCTTTATAAAAGTAATTTCACGATGCATGATTTAATGTATTGGTTGTCGAAGGCAGCGAGCTTGAATGCAGAATGAAGATTCTAGGTAAGCCAGCGAGCATTCCTTTAAGTCTGCTGGACGTCTGCTATTGTTGATATACAGTGAAGCGTACCACCTAGTGTAGAAAAATAATTATAACAACTGGAATCGTTGAATGGTGCTTTTTTTTTAAAGGAAACTTTATGAATTCGTCAAGATGGCTTCTTCTAAAAGCGCCAACACTTATAACCGACTTAACTGGGAAGATGCCGAATTCCCCATTGTATGCCAGACATGTCTTGGAGAAATCCCTTACATTCGAATGGTATGTAGTCTCGCTGCGATACATAGGCTCATCGTTCACGTGATGCCGTTCACGCATTTAATGTTTTCTTTATTTTTAAACGATCTATTTAAACGTAGTTGTCCTATCAACGTAATACATCACTGCATATTTAAAACCTGACTTACGAATTATTGAGCTCTTTACAATGACATGATGATACAACGATGGGTGAATACACTTTATTTCTATACGAGAGTTGCATTAATTAGAGATGATAAAAGAAAAAAAAAAAAACATTTCTCTGTTGATTCAAAGAAGCAAGGTTGCGATAGAGGCGAAATAGTCATTGCATATCAATGAAATCAGGACCTTAGTACATGAGGTCGTGATGGATTGTAACGTACAAGTGGTTTCGCCTATGCGGTTGCATTTGAGGCTCATAGATTTTTATACGAATAAAGTAACACCGACGATTAACTGTTTGATCAGTCTTTGTTATAATTCTTTGTTATAGAATAAGCAGGACAAATAATCTATTTATAGTGCTAATTAAAAATCATCATTTTACCAACTACCATTGACGCTGATATACCTACTGTCCTAGATATGATAGATACTTACTGAACAGCCTGTGAGAGAATGATGAATGGATTTAAGTATGGAGCGTGATTCTGTTTGTGTTTATTTGCAGATGAAGGATAAGTACGGTAAAGAATGTAAGATTTGTGCGCGACCTTTCACCGTGTTTCGCTGGTGCCCCGGACCGAAAAGCCGCTTCAAAAAGACTGAGGTATGAACATTTCCTATTACTGCAACAATTCTGTAAATAATCTTTTTTGTTTTCTGTATACAGAATTGGAGATATTAATTATTATTATCCATTCATTCTCTAAGGCGTAGCATGTGGGAACATTTGTGAAGAGTTCAAAATTTTCTGCAGATGCACAGATACAGCCTATAAAATAGCTAAATGTATAGTAGCTAGTTGCCAATGGAAAGCGCCGAACTAAATATGCTGATTGTTTAAAATAAAGATATTATGATTAGTATAACAATATAATCGTGTGGCGCGTTGTCAACTAGAATTTAGTTCAGATCGACTACTAGAATTGACCTACCCAAGCCTAAGATTTGCAGTTTTTTTTGTAGTGAGGAAAGGTTTTTTTTTAATTATTCCCATGCCGACCTCGTGTTGTAAAGCTGTCACTTAAATTCAAATTCCTTTGAAGTTTCGAGGCATCCATAAGTAATGTATGCATAGGTGTTGTCAAGCCAAAATTGTTACCGAAGTGTTTCGATGTGAATTATAATATTTTTTATTCGATTTGATCATTTTAATTATTGGAGTTTGGTATTTTTGCAAATTTAGGTGTGTCAGACGTGTGCTAAGTTGAAGAATGTATGCCAGACATGTCTCTTGGATTTGGATTACGGGCTACCAGTTCAAGTTCGTGACCAGGCTTTGGCTATTAAGGATGAGGTGCCTAAGAGCGATGTCAATAAAGAGTACTACCAACAAGTAAGCATCCCATTCCTATTAAAATTGAAATGCGATTTACTATGAGCAAGCTCAGCTATATTTTAATCTAAACAAAAGTTCCCTCTACCTCTATATACTTAAAGCGTTCGAAAATAATATTTAATTAAATGTGTTGACATAACTCTGAAGATTGATCATCTGCATCTAAAATATTTTTTTCATGTTGATATGTTAGAATGTGGAATCTGCAGTGGCCGCGGCAGATCCTAGCCGGCCATATGGGCAACTGGCGAAGGCACAAGCTCCAAGCGACTTATTAGCGAGAATGGCACGAACAGCCCCGTATTACAAGAGAAACCGGCCACACATCTGCTCGTTTTGGGTAAAAGTAAGTCCTCCGTCAACTGCTGCATAGGTAGGCCTTGCAGAGTTAGAGAACCTAGAATCAATTTATTGTAGTTTTTATTGGATCTTAAGTACGTGTATGATGCCGTAGATAATTGTAAGTGACAGTGTGATAAAGTCCGTTTAAGCGAGAGTAAAGAAAAGATATACCTGAAGAAGTCAATTTTTATTAGGATGGACGTAATAGTCGCAGCTACGGTAATGATATTGGTTAAGGAAACGCAAACTGGAAAAAAGGAAGGAACAACAAGTGAGTTGTACCTTCAAGTTCGGCTCAGTGTCCAATGATTTACAAAAAGAAACGCTTCATTGTTGACTTGTCTGTGGTTTTTCCCAATAATTGCTATAAGGGCGAATGCAAACGTGGGGATGAGTGCCCCTACCGTCATGAAAAGCCAACTGATCCAGACGACCCCCTGGCAGATCAGAACATTAAGGACCGTTACTACGGTAACAATGATCCTGTTGCTCACAAACTTATGCAGCGTGCACAAGCGATGCCACGAATCGAACCTCCTGCTGACAAGAGCATCACCACCTTGTACATTGGAAATATTCCTAGGGGTAAGTATACCAATCATATCCTCAGATGTAACAAAATGACACATACCATTTACACCTAAACTAAGCAATATATACTCCCAGCGGATTAAGAGATGTTCTGAAATGCCTCACAGCTCTTAGCACTTGAGCTTCTCAAAACATTGCTATGGGAGCCATAAGGTGGTGCGTGCCCGTTCTTGTGGCCACGTACCCTCAACACGTGTAATTCGGCTGTGGCATTGATAACTCCAACATGCGGGTTTGAGTATCTTAGGTAGTAGTTAAGATTTAATGGCTAAATGAAGTCAAATATTGTTTGATTGCAAATACTATGTTAAAGGAAACAGCCTTTCAAACGAATATGCCTGTTAACTAATTTGATAAAAAGGATGGTTAACCCCCTAAGAAAAGAGACCAGCAAAAATCTGAAAAACTGCCAAATATAGTCCTTCGATTTCTACGTGAGCATATTAAGACGCCCATATTGTGCCTAGCTTTTTCCCTATCTTTAGACGTCGATAGGTACTACATTAATGCTAGCGGAGATGCGACGTATATAAGAGTGTATTTCGAGAATGATTCGAGACTGTTAACGTAGAAGTTTGGGCAAAGACTCGTTTTATTTAAGGACCAAGAATTTTCTTTGCTAAACAAAATTATATCCTGCGTTATTGGTTGGCAGAAGGCCTAACGATAGAACACTCAATTTAGGCAAACTCAATACCGCGAATACAAAAATTGGTCGAGGATGCATAGAAATTTATTTTCTGGTGTAACCAGCATGGCCGTATCTTGTCAATACAATAAAAACATAAGAAATATTGCGAGCATTCGCAATGAATTGTAGAATAATTTACTACGAACATAGTGCCAAATATTTATCGTACCGTTGAAAGAACGTTTATCTCGAAAAACAACGAACTCTATACAACACCAAAAAGGATATTTGACATGACTTGTGTAAGTGAAACATTTATATAGCACACAAGTAGAAATTTCAAGAAGCTTTCTTTGTATAGTTATAATGTTTAAACATTCCTAACAACATGTTTTGGAAAAACCAATATAAAATGTTTTTAAGTGATAACAAATGCCTTTTGAATCCCTACATTTGTCCCTAGCCTTTTTTATGAGTTCTTTTTTTATTAGCTATATTGACTGTCGGCAAATACATTATCTGAACTGCGTTTAAACCCGAGAAATAGTACAAGCCATCAGTAAAACAGAACGTGTGGCATCAATTTGTTATGTGTGTATGTATATTTTTTTTCATATACATTTTTTTGTACGTGATTGCAGAGACTACGGAACAAGATATTCGGGCACATTTTTACCAGTTTGGTGAGATTCGGTCGATTCACGTGGTCGAAAAGCAATCGTGTGCGTTTGTATGTTTTCAATCGAGAGCCTGTGCTGAGTCGGCTGCCGAACGGTCATTCAACAAGCTCCAACTTCACGGACGTCGAGTGAACGTCAAATGGGGTCGTAGCCCGGCAAGGGAAGAGGCATCTACGAGCCAGACTTCGGCGCATGGCGCCTATAGTGGTTCACTGGCTACTCCACCGTATGGAACCGCAGCACCCGAAAACTCAGGGAATGCAGGCAATCCAGCCTCTGCTTTGGCACCGCCTCCATTTCCTCCCGGCATGCTGCCACCGCCCGGAGTCGGGCAAATGTATTACCCTAGTATGGACCCGAGCCGAATGGGCACGTATAACTAAGTGACATCTGTGTCTCGCGTATTGTATTCAGTTCCTTTAAATAAATAATAAAAATATTTGTATATAAAGTCTTGTATATATATATATATATATATATATATATATATATATATTGGTTAGCTTGTTCGCAAAGCATTTATGCTCGTATTGAGAATAATTTCAGCTATGTGTAGGACGAGTTATTAGTAATTACGATGATCGAACAGTTGTCAACATATTCTGTTATTATAGGTTGCGGATTTATTACAGGCCCGTTAGTCCCGTTCCAAGAATATTTATTTTTATTTTTTATTTATTTTATTATTATTATTATTCTGTTTAGTGTAACGATGTAACTTTCTTATATATGCATTACCAACAGATGGAATTTGCTAAATTATAGATATTAGCTTTTGGAACGTTACAGAGCATACTATAGAAATGCTGTTATTTCTTCCTCCTACAAAAAACGTTCCATTGAATAAAATAGTGTAGACAACTTACTTGAAAAATCCGAGTTACAGACTTTCACTACTAAATATTTACCTATAAGGCTCATAAACAGGGCTTAGAACAGGGGTGATGTGAACACGTAATACACGTAACGTAATCACAAGTTCTCTTTCCCTCTCTACGAAACGAAGCAATACCAGCTAAGAAGCGACGTTAATAAGCTTCCTGAAGCCAACGAAGACGACTCGGTCGATATCTACTGCATACAAAAATCTAAATATAAAATGCTTAGTCTGTCCGGCAGTCAGTAGTATACGTTAACAAATACAACAGAAAAAAGAACGCAGTTGTCACAGTTTTTTGTACAATATGCAATTTATTGTTCCATA